TGCCCCAAGCACCAATATGTTCAGGGGTGCTTCCTCTGGCCCCCATCAAGATCTCTGCCCCCCCTGCCTCCCCCCCCCCCCAAATCTTTGAATTAATAATAAGCAGAAAGGGTAAAACATCAGCCTCCCTCCAGCAGTGTCTTTATTTAGAAGAACGCTTCTGGGGCTACATGAGTCTCTGTCATTCTTGGAACCCATTTGCTCAGCATTTGGTTTGGAAATGTGCCCCTCATCCCAGGAAAGAGAGGGTCAACTAGGGCAGCAGAGACCATGAAGGGTGGTTCCCAGAGATTGTGATGGGCCAGTTTTCCTTTTGGGTTAGTGGGTGTAGCCTGACCAACCATGATCACCAGTTGACTCTCAGATTCAGATGTGACCATGGAACCAAACAAAGGTTACTAGAAACAAACAGCTATGATATACAGTAAAGCAGTGTTTCTCAGCCTTGGCGACTTGAAGATGTGTGGACTGGCTGGCTGGGGAATTCTGGGAATTGAAGTCCACACATCTTCAAGTCGCCAAGGTTGAGAAACACTGCAGTAAAGAGAGAAGGCCTGAGGAAGCCCAAGCTGGATCTTCAAGTCGCCAAGGTTGAGAAACACTGCAGTAAAGAGAGAAGGCCTGAGGAAGCCCAAGCTGGAGAAGATGTGTGGACTGGCTGGCTGGGGAATTCTGGGAATTGAAGTCCACACATCTTCAAGTCGCCAAGGTTGAGAAACACTGCAGTAAAGAGAGAAGGCCTGAGGAAGCCCAAGCTGGAAACTCACTAAGATGGAATTCTTAAATCCCCATAAATGTTTCTGTTGTTAATAGACAAAAGTTCCCAGCTGGACTTCATAATGCACCGAAGAGAGAGATCATCTGTGCATATATGTGGGGGAACGTGAGATACTGTTTTAAATCATGCCATTTTACAATGTATGGTCATGCACATTTAGACTTTGGATTCACCAGACAAATCAAGCACGTGCACCCAAATCTGTTGCTTCACACCCCAAGTTTGTTTTTGAAATTAATGGCATACCTGATGTGGCTGTGTGCATGAAATAGGTGAACAGGTTGCTGTTCATCCTGAAGCTTTTTTTTTTTTCCTGAGAATTTTCTTCTGCACCTATTACTTTGATTTCAAAATGTCAGGTGGGTTGGCTGCTAGCCACGCAAAGAAGTCTGACATGATTGTGGGGATTGGTGTAAGAATGATTGAGGGTTCCTTAAAATGGAGAAGTGGGTGAGCAGCGCTGAGCTGCCTTGGTGAGATTTCTAAAATGAAGCAGAAATGAAGCAGAGAATCTATTTCCTAAATGTAAGCCTGCGCATTTTCTAAATCTGGGGTAGCATCTTCCCCTCTCCTGATTCTCACTGTTACTACCCTGTGAGGTGGATTTTCTGGGTGACCAGGGGTTAAAAAAGAAAGAAAGCCAGGCAGGCAGGAAGCATCAGGGGCTTGCACAGGGGAGCATCAAAAAAGTCAAGATGGCAGTCATGACCTTGCACCTTTTTACTTGTATCACATGCTCAATGCATGTAGAGAAGAGACAGGCCTTTGATGGCCTGGCATGGTCACCCTCTTGATTTTTTTGATACCACCTAAGGATGCCCCAGAAAAAAAGAAATGAAAACGGTACTAAAATGCAAGTATTCATCAACGTCATGTACACAGATGCATTTTGTGAGGAAAGATGATTTGCAAAGCAAACCTGCCAAAACAGAAAGCAGTTACTGGAAGGTGCACCAAAATGCATGCACATTTCAGAGTGAACAAAAAAAATTGCCATATTTGGCTTGACAGATCAGCAGAATGAGGAACTAAGGAAAGCCAAAAATGACAGACTGGTTGGTTCATCTCTATTGGAGATGATTAAAAAGGAAGACTTCTCCTTCGGGTCCTCCTTGCAAATTTCTTCTCACTCTGCACCACCAATGTCTTTCCTGACTGATTTCTTTGCTTATCTCCCTCCCAGTCCCAATCAGGGTTTTGCAGAACTCACTTTGTCATCACACAAAATCAAAGGCAGATGTTTAACCAAGAAGGAAAAATCAAGCAATCCATGCCTGCTTCTTTTGCTTGGATCCTAATAAAAGGAGAGTGCAATAGGGGTGTTGCATAATTCTGAGAGATGTGCTTTACTGGAGGTGATGCACCACCTGAGGAGAATGAAGAAACCTAATCGCTGGGGCTGGGCCAAGGTTCAAAGGCGTGTGTGGCTTGGATGAACCCTTCGAGGCTGCTTTGCAAAGCCACACGCTCCTTATTTTAAAAGTGAAGTGCAGCAGCCACCTTCTGCTTCCTCTGGCTTCTGAAACTGTCTCTGACTCTGTCTCTGTCAGTTTCAGCAGTAGGAAGAGGCCTCTGTGCATGTCAAAAGCAGCTTATGGGGAGGGTGTGTCCCCTCTTCCGTCTGATGAGGAGAAGGGGTCACCGCTGCAGCACAAAGAGCCTCATGGAGGAAAAAGCTCCTTCACGCAAATGAAATAACCTCCAATTTTCTTATTTTCTCTGATATCTCCTAAATGATCATTCTTCCAATGCTTGTCAACATGGTTCTTTAACTTTTGTTTTCACTGCTGGCTTGGCAACCATTCTTTTCTCTTAAGCCTAACTTTGTTTCTCTCTCCCCCAACCCCCTTTTCTCCTCTTGTTTTTTTTTTTTATCTGCCATCTCCTTCCTTCTTTCTGATGCAGAACCGCATGCACGAGTCCTTAATGCTCTTCGACTCCATCTGTAACAACAAATTCTTCATTGATACCTCCATCATTCTCTTCCTCAACAAGAAAGATCTGTTTGGTGAGAAGATCAAAAAATCACCTCTGACCATCTGCTTCCCTGAATACACAGGTATGGGGGCTCTGCCTCGGATTCTCTACATCAGTGTTTTTCAACCTCAGCAAACTTTAAAATTTTTGGAGCCCAAACCCCCCCTTTCCCCACCCCCAACTTACTCCGAGGGGGGCTTGGGGGTGGATATGTCACCATTCAATATTTCCATGG